GAACAGCACCCCTCTATGAGGTGATCATAACAGCGAGATCCAATACCGAGCAGCACTTATCTTAACTCATAACCCACGAATACGCAAAGCCCCATATAAATTATCACAATACAATACCATACCAGCACTTAATCTAACCCACACCATACCAAAGCCCCTTATATTACAATAAAAACAGCGCCCGAAGCACTTATCTACTCATAACACCAATACCAGCTCTTATCTAACCACAACACCAATACCAAAAGCCCTTATATTACATAACCCAATACCAGCTCTTAATCTAACCACACACCAATACCAGCACTTATCTAATCACAATAACAATACCACAACGTTTTATCTAATTCCAAAAAGCTCTTATCTACTCATAAAACCAATACCAAAAGCCCTTATATTACCATAACACCAATACCAGCTCTTATCTAACCACAACACCAATACCAAAAGCCCCCTCTATCCGATCATACCGCCAGTACCAGCACTTATCTACTCATAACACGAAATACCAAAGCCCCATAAATTATCACAATACCAATACCAATACCAGCTCTTATTAACCACAAACACCATACCACATTTTATCCAATTCCAAAAAGCCCTTATCTCATCACAATACCAATACCAAAACCCCTTATATTATCATAACACTAACACCAAAAGCCCTTATATCATCATAACACCAAATACCAGCACTTATTACTCATAACACGAATACCAAAGCCCCATAAATTATCATAATACCATACCAATACCAGCTCTTATCTACTCATAACACCAATACCAAAACACGCAATACCGCCAGTACCAAAGACCTTCCACTCACAGAGCCAAAAATTCTCTCATTACTTTCCCCTCAACATCTGGCTCATTTCCTTCAGTGATGTTAAGTGTCCTTGTCTCTTATATCACTTCTCGGCGTCTTTCCTTCTCCTCCTTCTGAAAATAACGTTTAGTCCTTTGAGGCTCTGGGTCTTCGAGGGAGACTAAATCTGGGATGTGTGTGTTTTGTTTTTGTTTTTGTGTTTTTTTTCATTTCTTTTTCTTTCTTTTTTCATTTTCTTTTTCTTTCTTTCTTTCTTATTTTTCTTCTTGTTCTCCTTTCCTTCTCCTTCTTCCTTCTCCTTTTCCTTTTCCTTCTTCTTCTTCTTCTTCTGCTTCTTCTTCTTCTTCTCCTCTTCTTCCTCCTTCTTCTTCCTCTTCTCCTCCTCCTCCTTCCTCTCCTTCTTTTTCTTTCTCCTTCTCCTTCTCCTTCTCCTTCTCCTTCTCTTCTCCTTCTCCTCTCCTTCTCCTTCTCCTCCTCTCTCCTTCTCCTTCTCCTCCCCATCCCCTCCCCTCCCCCTCCCCCTCCCCCGTCCTTACGCTCTCCTCCTTCTTCTCCTCCTCCCCTTCTTCTCCTCCTCCTTCTTCTCCTCCTCCTTCTCCTCCCTCCTTCCTTCTTCTCCTGCTTCCTCCTCTCCTCCTCCTTCCTCTTCTCCTCTCCCTCCTCTGCCTCCTCCTCCTCCTCCTCCTCTCTTCTCTCCTTCTCCTTCATCTCCTCCCCTCTCCTCCTTCCTCTCTTCTTCTTCTTCTTCTTTTCTTGAAGTGAATCACCTCTTTCTTAGAGACTGACTCATCTTCCATTTCCTTCTATCACATTTTTTCTCTTTGTATATTTATGTAATTAAATCTATTTTTGGTCATGGGCTGAATCACGCATCTTTGGTAAATATTATCAATGATGATTAATATATATTGTTGTTGTTATAATATTATTATTATTATTACTATCATTATTATTATTGTTTGTTATGTATTATCATTCTCTAATTATTATTAATTATATTACTCATATAATAATAATATTATTATTATTACTATTATCATTATTATTATTATCTTATTATCATATTATTATCATTTATCATCATTATTATTATTATCAATATTATCATTATCATTATTATTATTTACTATCATGATATATCATCCTCTTAATCAGCTTCATTATTAGAGTAGCATAATCATTAATCAACCCCTTTTACTATCATCAGCATAATGATTATTGCTATCATTATCGTTATTATTATTATCATTATTATCATTAGTATAATCATCATCTTTAATCATCTTCATTGTTGATCTATCACTATAATTATTACGGTTATATTATCATTATTACTACCATCAATTATATAATTAAAACATTACCATTCCTCGTTTATTTCTTTCTCTTTCTCCCTTTCACTCGTTCCCGTTTCTCTCTTCCTCTCTTTTTCTCTGTTTTTTCTCTTCGCTCTCCTCTTATCGTTTATTCTCTTTCGTTCTCCGTTTCTTTCTTTCTCTCTTTCTCCCTTTCACTTGTTCCCCGTTTCTCTCTTCCTCTCTTTCTGTTTTTTTTTTCGGTGTTTCTCTCTTTCTCCGCTTCTCTCTTTATCGGTTTATTCTCTTTCTCTCTCTCTTTCTCCGTTTCTAACATCACTACCATCCTCAACCTAGTCCTCAGTCTCGTCATATATATAAATACATCATCCATTTTTGAGTCAGTTCCCCTTCTTACTATATCCGTGATGAGGCAGAATCCCCCTCCCTCCCCCCACCCCCATCCTCTACTATCTACCCCCTACCCTCCCCCCTCCCGCTAACACTCCACCCCAATCCTTCCTACATTTCTCCCCCTACCTACCACCCACCCCAACTATCTACCCCTCTCCCCTCCCCCTCCTGCTAACGCTCCACCCCAACCCTTTCCCCCCACCTCCATTATCTACCCTCCTCCTTCACCCCTCCCGCCCACACTCCACCCCCACCCCTCCCCTTTTCCCCCACACCCCCTACTATCTTCCTCACTCTCCTCCCCTCACCCGCCACACAAACCCCACCCCATCCCCTTCCCACACTTCCTCCCCCCATCTACCACCCACCCCTACTATCTACCCTCCCTCCCCCCTTCCCACACTTCCTCTCCCCCCACCTACCACCCACCCCCTACTATCTACTCCCCTCCCCCTTCCACACTTTTTCCCCCCCATCTACCCCACCCCCTACTATCTACTCCCTTCCCCCTTCCCACACTTTTTCCCCCCATCTACCACCCACCCCTACTACTACTTCCTCCCCCTTCCCACACTTTCTCCCCCCCACCTACCACCCACCCCTCTATCTACCCCCCCCCACACTTTTCTCCCACCTACCACCACCCCCTACTATCTACCCCCCTCCCCACTCCACCTCCCCCCTCCCACTCGCCCCCCCCCCTCCTTCCCACTCTTTTTGTAACGGCCGACTTGGCATCAGATTTCATGCCAGTGCCTAATGCTGCCCGTTGTATCAAGGTCAGTGTTGCAGAGAGACTGACTCAGGGGGGGGGGGGTTGGGGGGGAGGGGGAGCGGGGTATGAGTAATGGCGGAATAGATTTGATTCTTTAAGGTCATCGAGATATTGTTTTTCTTTTTTTCTTTTTCTTTTTCTACTTCTTCTACTTCTTTTTTTCTTCTTCTACTTCTTCTTCTCCTCCTCCTCCTCCTCCTTTTTCTTTTCTTTTCTTTTTCTTTTTTATTTCTTTTTCTTCCTCTTCTTCTTCTTCTTCTTTTTCTTCCTCTCTTCTCTTCTTTTTCTTCTTCTCTTCTTCTTCTTCTCTTCTTCTTCTTCTTTACTTTTTGTGTTGTGATTATTATTCATATTGAAAGTAAAGTTATGAATTACATATCTTGCAATTTTGCTATATACATCGTATATGCATATGTGTGTGTTGGTGTGTGTGTTGGTGTTGTGTTGGTGTGTGTGTGTGTGTGTGTGTGTGTGTGTGTGTGGTGTGTGGTGTGTGTGTTGTGGTGTGTGTGTGTGTGTGTGTGTGTGTGTGTGTGTGTGTTGTGTGTGTGTGTGTGTATTGTAATGATACTGATAAGGATCGCAGTAATTTTAAATAATAAAGATAATACACAGATTAATTCGTATAACAAATATAGACCCAAAATATAATCATATACTTAAAAAATGAAGAACTTTAAAATAAAAA